ATATATATATATATATATACACAACTTATAATTTCACTTAATCCGTAACAATGAACACATTGGGGGGCGGCATTTGTACATTTTCCACACGGTCTTATGCTGGGTAAATGCTGTTGGCATGGCATTACTGCAACTAGATGGAGCTGTTGAGTATGGGATATTCCCATGCCCCTTTGCGCCATCTAGTGGTTGCATATGGCTCAGTTAGACTTTATAAATTGGTCCTAAGCCACTGCCTTGCATTTTGCTGCAGCATTGACAGCCTGCTGTCTGCCTTCCTTGGCGGTTAGGCTGCCTATCTGGTCTATCAGGCAGCCCAACAGCCAACTGAAGGAGCACACAGCAGGTGGACTACACAGCTGCAAACTGAGGTGCAATGGCTTAGTCTTGTCAGGCTGTAACAGAAGAGCAGTTACTGGCAGGATCTCAATATAAGAAAATTTGTAGTAATAAAAATACATTTAAATGGTGAGACATGATGCCAAACACTAAAACAAATGTAGGATTTACATATCATATATTAAAGCTAAATGTATAACCTGCTGTTTTTCTTTTTAGGGAACTGAAAGCTGCAAAACTTGCTCAGAGTTCTGGGAAGGATGAATGCACAGATCTGCCCTCTAAATCGGATCTCTTCTGTCGGGGCAGAAAACGCCTGGTTGGGGGTAAAAACACTCGCTCGTTAAGCTTTAACTGTGGTGGTTATTAGCGATTTCCACTGCATCTGTGTAACTTCCAGCTGCCAAGAGAAAGTCCACCAATCCTGCATTCTTCCGCTTGTATGTCTTCCACAACTTGAGTAGGGCCACCTCAGCAAAAAAAAAGTGTGAACCTAGAGGTAATGAGCTGTCCAAATATTTAAAGATGGCTGCTGATGGGCCAAAACCCTTACATGCTCTAGCATGGTCTATTCTTTGCTGTCTGCCCTTTCTCTCATGTTTTTTGTGAATAGCTTGTCTGTTGCTTTGTCCTGTATATGCTGTGTGAAAAATTGGATTCTAGGCTATGCAATTCACTTCTAAGATCTGGTGTTTTTATGTAATATTTTACTTGAATGTACTTTTAAGTTATTGTATGTTTTAAATAAAATTTTAAGTCTGAAAGCTTTGGCTTTTTTTTTGGTTGACGCATGTGGGGTTCAGCAATGGGTGCGAATATGTGCAGGAATGATTCTGACCTTTATTGAATAATGGTTTATCCTGCATACTTGAACCTAAGGCAAATGCAGATTGTCCTGACAGAGAACGGGCGTGTGTTCAGGTCATAGAAGGCTGGGATGTTATGGAGTCAGGCTGCAGTTAGTGGGCTCTTGTGGGGTTCTCTCAATCCTTTCATGACAAAGGGTCATGAGGTCCTCGATTAGATGCCTAGACCAAATTTAGCAGTGATTTTCTTTTTGTTTGGACATTTTGTTCTTTTGGTATGGTTTTATACACTTCTAATGTGTTTAACTTGACACATGGACAAGAGATGAAACATTGTTTTATATTTGAACTATGTACAGTCTTGTCAGATTCACTAATGGCTGAAAACAGGAGAGGTTTGTTAATCTATAAACCTCACGGGGGGGTCATCTGAGAGCTAGAACTGGAGCTGTCAGTAACTGCTTGGCCTTGCAGCGTGCACAGGTTGTGCGCTGCTGGTTTTCAAATGGAAAGGTAGATCAAAGCAACCCTGTCACAAAATGAAATGCATAAAGCAGAACTTTTTCCAAAAATAGTATATACATAGCTCCTTAAAAGAAACAATTGGTATTTGCAGCAATAATTTGCCTTTTTTAAATCAGAGCTGTCTAGCAGGATTTTAAACCAGTAGATGGCCACCACCATTCAACCCACTGAGCCCAGGCTGTGGTGGGTGCCCAACAGCCTGCAACTGGACAGTGATAATAGAAGTGGCACACTGAACTCATCTCTCACCATTCTATCAGCATGCTTCTCATCAGTGCATGAACTGATTGTGCTGCTGCTTCCTCACGCTCCAGCCCTGCTGTACAAGGACTACAAAAGGCTGATACCAGGACAAATTCAGGTGCTTACACTGCTTGCATTATTAAAAAAAATAATCGCATACTACAGATATATCTACCGATAATTCAGCTTTAAAGGTTACCCAGGAAAAGGAGTATTCTACTTGCCTGTCTTGTAATTATCTTCGCTCTTAAACTACAGTATTAGTGGCCCCGTCTGACACTTTTTAGAGTGCCTGAACCCTGCTTCCTCCCATCAGGTCTCCATGTCATAACTGTCCTGCAATGAAAATTGATCAATGACCTGGAACAATCATACAGAAAAATAGGTCAGACTTGGTATATTTTCAGGTCATTCCTGGTGACATATTGCTCATGTAAAACATCCCTGGTGACATATTGCTCAGGTGACCACTTTCATTCCTGGTGACATATTGCTCATGTGACAACTGTCTTTCTAGACTTGAAGGATACAAGGTGAGAGGGAAGAAACAAGTTGCCCTTGCAAAAAATGCTAACCCTACAACTTCATCAGTGTTTGTTCTTCCATCACTGTGACCATTCTTACTGCATACTTCTGCTCCTTGTGCTGAAACAGAGGATTCCGTATCACCAGGGAGTTGGCTTTTTGAGACTGGTTAGCAACAGCAGCTTTTGAGTTTCCTTTGAAATGCATAGAGGGGTCTCTCCTCATAGGAGAGTCTATCCATAAGGGACTTTTATATCGCCATATGTTGACCCTACATGGACAACCCAAGAAGGGACTATACTTCTCGGGGAATGGTAATTAGAGCTGGGTCTTATGTTTACACAGCCAAACTTTACCTCTGGCTGACATGTTTTATCCCTACCCTCCCATGCAACAAATTGCTCATGAGATGGTACAGCAGAAGTAGGTAACCTAAGCACTACAACTGTTGAACTGCAGGTCCCATGAGGCATTGAAAGACTGACAGCCATGGGCATGACTCCTACAGGCAAAGGCATGATGGGATTTGTATTTTCACCACAACTGGAGTGCCAAGGTTGCCTGCCACCATGGTACAGAGTTCCAACTAAGCTAACTTGCATTTCCTCAGCTATCTGACACCTTCTGCAGTGGATGTCTAATGTGGGCAATTCCAAAAATTTACTGTATTGGGATTCAATTTGTCAGCTTATAAAGAACATCACCGGTGACCACTTATAAGGACCCTTGCCTATTCTTCACCTTCCCTATTGCTGGTCTGATCCCTCTTCATTGGAAGGAACATTGACTGCAATCCCTGAGTATATTATAGAAATTAAACTGTTATTGCAGGGTCCAGTGATGAGGGGTTATGTGGAAAGGTCAAAATTTCCCTGCTCTAGCCAAAACTAGACCTTTTTGTCTAGTTTTGGCTAGAACAGGAAAAGGTTACAACTCCATGTCTGTATTTTATTGCTGTTTTGGCTGGTGAGGTTTTCCGTCACTTCCTGTCCAGGGAGCACAACCGGAAGTTGAACAAATTACCCCAAAGTGAGTTCCAATCTTGGTTGTTGCTGGAACAGTTGCCCCATTACCCGTTCCGGGGCTCACACCAACATCTTGTATTACACTTTCTTTTTTGTTTTGCTAACCATGATCAAGATAT